GCATATAATTATATTATAATTTTATAATATTGTTTATTTTAACATTTTTATTGTGAACACCAGGGAGGGCTTAGCCCTACTAGCCCACTTATGCCAGCTGTCACTGCATGTTCCTGAAGACTGGATTAAATCAGAAGGTTCTTCAGGGTGTGCATACTTATGCACCCTTTCATTCCAAAACTCTGACATTATTTTATTTCCAGCAGATGCTCTGTTTTTAAAATTTGTGTCTCTGTGTCCAAAGTGGGCGTGGGCCAGTCACCACATTAAAGCCTTTTAATATGTTTAATGTAAAATTTTGAGCGGTATATGAAACACTGAAGCATCAGAGTTGCTCCACACACAGCTGCTTGTCTTTTACATCATGATAAGAGTGCTGTGGTTGGGAGGTTATACTCACTAATGTGATCTGCAGAGCCACACGTGCAGAGGTGGGATTTATTACCTTTCAGGCAGCCTGTTAGGATGCTCAACCTTCTTTTTTTCTCTCTGTGTATAATTGAAAATATAAATCTCTCACTGCGTCTCCGCCTCACTGACAGTCTGTCTCCTCCTRTCTCTCTCTGCAGTAAGCCTGGCCAACAGTCAGGAGTGGACTCTGAGCAGATCTATCCCAGAGMTGAGACTGGTGAGTTCCTGGACCGGTTCCTCAAACACTCATCAGATCTAATTTATCTACAACTAATCAGATTTATCAGAGATTAGGTTTTATCTGGTGTATTTATGCAAGTAAACATCAAATATACTCGTCTGTTTAATGTGTGTGTGGCCTTGTTTTTCCTACATCATGGGGCCCAGTAACGCAGCATCGTGGGGACTGGGGYCCCACAATTTCGGAGGCTGATTTTGAGTGTGGGGGTTGGGTTTAGGACCAAGGTGTGAATTGAGTTTAGGTTAGTTTTAGTGTCAGGTACCTGTGAGGTTAGCTTTAGGGTTGGTGGTTCAGGGTTAGGATATAAAATTACCAAAAAATGAATGGAAGTCAATGCACGGGCCCCGCAAGGATATTTAAACAGGTTTGTGTGTGTGTGTGTGTGTGTGTGTGTGTGTGTGTGTGTGTGTGTGTGTGTGTGTGTGTG